GCACTTTGGCGACAGTGGGAAGGAAAAACTCCCTTTTAACAGGAAGAAACCTCCAGCAGAACCAGGCTCAGGGAGGGGCGGGGCCATCTGCTGTGCGAGGAAATGTGAACTCCTGGTCCCCATATTTCTGAACCTTGGAGCAGCTTTTGACTCACTCTGGATGATCAGGTTAAATCTCTGGTTCGATCTTGCTCTTTTAGAAACCAACGAGCTCTGTTGTGTCCTGCTGTGAATTAGAAGCTATCATTCCTGCTTTTATTTCATCTCTTCTCAAAATAACCTCCTTCAAACATCAAGTGTTCAAAATGCACTCGTGTCTCACTCAGCCCACTTTAAGATTCTGGTTTTGGCTGTTGGAGCAGCAAACGTGTCCATGCAAACACCTCTGCAGGTTCCTAACCATCAGGTTCTGTGCTTCACACAAGGCTGAGAACTACAGGAGACAGAGCTACTGCCCCTCAAGCTGTGTCTTCATTAGTTCTCCTTTGTAAGTTGATATCTTGAGCTGTATAAATAGAAATGTACTTATATGAAAAACCTGCTTTAACCTTTTAGGAGCTGCAGCCATCTTCATACATGCTCCCAAGGCTCAAAAGTAATTACACAATTAACTGCCGAGCAGTTCCAAGTGAGGCCTGATCTCTCCTCACTCTGTGACGAATTAGGCAGAGAGACCTGTTAGTGACTCTCGTGGAGTGGCTGCATATAAGCAATGGGTCTAACCTAAACCTATTTCCTCATTACATTACGACAAATTAAGTCGATGAAAGGTCAGCAGCTGCTTCCAGGATTGAATTTGCATTTGGTGGCTGTGCTGGGAGCTCACCATTACACTGAAAGCAGCAACCCAGGTCTAATCACAGAGATCGGAACATTTGGTACATTTTTATAAAGCAGGAATGCAGCAGTCAGCTCTGCAACACCCAAATTCCTTGAAAACCTTCATAATATCTATCACTTCCAAGAAGATGCATCATTGCTACAGTGTTCTGTCAAGACGCAACTTCATGAATGACGTACAGACGCAAAACGCTGATAACGCCCGAAGACAGAAAGATCGGATAAGACTTTCCTAGAAAACATCGAAGAAAGTTCTGGAAGTTTCTTTTAGGAATATGAACTTGTAGCAGAGAAGAGTCTGTCAAACACAGTGGAGTGTTATCATAGCCAGTGGAAGTGGGTCAAGGGTGTTTATTCATGACTAGGTGTTGATAGAAGTAGCAGGAGGAGATCTGAAGTATCGACAGCTTTACTTTCTGCTCACAGTGAATCAAAGGCTGCGAAACTGGTAGGACAGAGCCTGGCAGTACAGACAGCAAAGCAACGGCTCCTGAAGGTAAAGACGTTTTCTCGGACGGCCACAACAGCCTTTAGTGGGCAGAAAGACCCACAAAGACACAGCAACTAACAGTGGATCCAGTGAGGAAGAAAGTCCATCGCCTTTACAGTTCAAGCACTACATGCCTGTAAAAGAGTTTCATTTAAGAATGAACAATAAGGGAAATTAAATATTGTTTAAATCTTAAATATAAGGAATATTTTTAAAAATCTCTTGAAATAAAGCTGAAAGTCTGTCATTTATTAAATCTTGATTGCTTCCACTGGTTGGCAGAGATGGGCAGTAACGCGTTAATGTAATCCGATTACTTTTTTAAAGTAACGAGTAAAGTAAGGGATTACTATTGCAAAAACGGTAATTAGATTACAGTTACTTTCCCGTAGGAACGCTGCGTTACTGCGTTACTAAAACCGTGATTTTTTGCGAGAATGTCTCATGACAGTGACGTAAGCGAGTGCGA